ACCAGGAATGGGATGGGAAATTGTTTTCTATTGTTACATATGTATATAACAAATATGTTTGCAAATATCCCAAGTAAATATCCCATAAGTAAATCTTTGGGTTTAATCCAAGTATGGCTACTCAGGTCTTAATTCATGAACATGTTAAACCAGCTGACTATTATTATTTGTTTCTTAAAACCAGAAAAATATAAATGTTGTGACTGTTTGCATCAGATAGAATGGAATGTTGTTCTTGAAATATATGACTTTTCCATTGGACATTTCAACTACTTTCTTAAAAGGCTGGACAAATGGAATATATCTAGATTGTTATCAATTCCACAATTGATTCCACAATTATTGTTTAGGGTAGGGGATTTAATCTATTTTTTTTTCCTTCTAGAAGGTATTATCTAACTGAAAATGACATCCTTTGGATCTTTAATAAAAATAAATAAAGGCTTGAAAGGAAGTCTCATAACATTTTTGGTTCAAAGCAACTGTGGTGATAACGGAAGAGTAAAGTAGTGGCAGATATAAACAGAAAATGTGAGAGTAGGATTGAAAAACTCTTGGGGGTGTGTCTGACCTGGATTTGACATTTCTATCCCCTTCCAGGACAATAGTTGGAGTCCTAGTGGACAACCATTTATATATGAGCCAGCAGTGTGTAGCAGCTGCCCAAAAAGCCAACACAGTTCTAGGTTGCATAAACAGAGGGATAGAATCAAGATCACGTGACGTGTTAATACCTCTTTATAATGCCTTGGTAAGGCCACACTTGAAATACAGCATACAGTTTTGATCGCCACGATGTAAAAAATATGTTGAGACTCTGGAAAGAGTGCAGAGAAGAGCAACAAAGATAATTAGGGGACTGGAGGCTGAAACATATGAAGAACGGTTGCAGGAACTGGGTATGTGTAGTTTAATGAAAAGAAGGACTAGGGGAGACAGGATAGCAGTTTTCCAATATCTCAGGGGTTGCCACAAAGAAGAGGGAGTCAGACTATTCTCCAAAGCACCTGACGGTAGAACAAGAAGCAATGGGTGGAAACTAATCAAGGAGAGAAACAACTTAGAACTAAGGAGAAACTTCCTGACAGTTAGAACAATTAATCAGTGGAACAACTTGCCTCCAGTAGTTGTGAATGCTCCAACACTGGAAGTTTTTAAGAAGATGTTGGATAACCTTTTGTTTGAAGTGGAGCCGGGTTTCCTGCCTAAGCAGGGGGTTGGACTACAAGACCTCCAAGGTCCCTTCTAACTCTGTTATTCTATTCTATTCTATTCTATTCTATTCTATTCTATTCTATTCTATTCTATTCTATTCTATTCTATTCTATTCTATTCTATTCTATTCTATTCTACTCTACCCTACTCTACTCTATTCTAGTTGAAATAAATCCTGAAGTACCTTCCTCTGTATTATTTCTTTGTTTTCACTTTGCACATTTTACTGCTTTCAACAGATGGCAGATGTTCTGATAATCTACAGTAGTTCTTTTGGGGCCAGGTTAAATACAGCTGGGAATAAGAAATTATTTGCCATATCCTATTTTCCTAGCCTGCCACATCCTATCCTGTTATTCTCCTATCATTATCCAATTCTTCTCTGAATTCTCAGGGGGAATTCTAGTTGCTACTGGAAAAACTGAAAAGACTAAATGACACAAAGAATCTTCCCTATATCTTGGAGAGCTGTTACAACAGAAAATCAGAAAGCTCAGTTTTCATCAGATCTTTCCTTGATACTTTATGTTCAGAGGGAAGCTGCTTGGGGACATTTAAATCACAGATAGGAAGAGATGAGGAGACCGTTTCCTGGCATGATGGTTAAGATTCTAGTGTTGGTACTGTTGCACTCTCAGATAATGTGCAGCTTTGCTCTTCTTCTGTGTCTGGTCAGTGAACCTCTTCCAATTCCCAGATATTTAAAGACAAGACAGCTGAACCTGGGTGTCATAACCTTTCAAATCTATATGCTTTATGAACCTCTTTCATTTGAAATTCCACCTTCACGTGAAAATCCTGGATTCCCTTTGTAAGACATTTTAATTTGTTACATTTGTTAAATGAAATGCTCTTGCTGTGAATATCCTGACTCTGTAGATTGTCTGGTTGTTGAACTTTAGTCAATGCATTTCTTGGGGCACATTTATTACTAGGGGGCTGCCACAAAGTAACTGAAGGCAGGACAAGAAGGGATAGATAGAAACTAATCAAGGAGAGAGCAAACCTAGAACTAAGAAGAAATTTCCTGATAGTTAGAAGAGTTAATCAGTGGAATGACTTGCCTCCAGAAGTTGTGGGTGCTCCAACACTGGAAGTTTTTAAGAAGAGATTGGACAACCATTTGTATGAAATGATACAGGTTTTCTCCTTGAGCAGGGGATTGAATGAGAAGACTTCCAAAGTCCCATCCAACTGTTATTCTATTGTTTTCTTATTAATGTGATATTGTTGTGCTGGAAATGTAGGTTCCAAAATTTCTATTTGCATTATCTGTAAAATTGATGTCATCGAAATTCTATTTGACTTGGCATGATTTGACTCGACTACTTTTCATTTGTCAAGGTTGCTAATCTTATACTTTAATTTTTCCCTTAACTTTCTGATATTCTTTAACCATCAATCAATCAATTAACCAATCCTTACAGAGAGTCTTCTGGCAAGTTAAATGTGAAGAAATTTAATATGGTCTAAAGTTTCCAAAATCACAGTCTATTTTCTCATATGCTTCTGAGAAAAAGAGCTTTACTTTCCAAATGAAATCATATCTAAGGAGCATGAACTATATGCTTCATATGATATGTAAGATCTGGACTTCATTTTGAGATGAAAAGGAAATAGGCCTGTCCTGTCAGGCTAAAAACAGTGTCACAATAATTCTCTTCCAGCTTTAAAATGTCATTGGAATGCAATTCATGATTCATTCTGACAGAGAATAGTGAGTTAATTTATGCATCATACAGGTTCTTGATACAAAACTATCAGCATATTCTGGCCTTGGAATTTGCTTTGAAGGAAATCAATGAAAACCCTCACCTCCTACCCAACATCACCTTGGGCTTCCACATTTATAACAGCAACTTCATTGGAAGTTCAACCTATCGTGGTGCACTGGAGCTTCTTTCAACAAAGGACAAGTTCATCCCCAATTATAAGTGTGATGGCCAGAACAATGAAGTAGCTGTCATTGGAGGACCCTATACAAAAATCTCTCTGGGTATGACAAATATTCTGAGCAACTACAAGATACAACAGGTGAGATATCCTTCCCCTTCCTTCCTTCCTTCCTTCCTTCCTTCCTTCCTTCCTTCCTTTCCAAACAGCAGGTTAGGAAGGTTAGGGTTATAATCTCAAACAATTAATAATTTATGGAGTACTTAAGATATTCATTTCAATGAGAAAAACATGAAGGTCGGGTTTTCCCAAGGATTCTCATCAAACAAAACAATTAAGAACATTAAATAAGTCAACACAATCTAACAGAGAAGTCTGTTTTGGCTAGCTTGTACATTTTTATTTTAGCCAGCTTCTATTTATATTTTTCATACAAAGTACAAAAACATATACAATATGTCAGTATGTTCCATGAATTCAATAACTAGGAAAAGCATACAAACTAGAAAAAACCTTTGGGATCAATATCTGATGCATATTACTTTTTTTAATTAATTAAAACCATAATTAATCTAGCTTCTCTGTCCATTATGATAACTCTTCATTTTGTGTTTTTCCCTCTGTGCTTTGAACATGAGCTTCTGTTTGTTTATATTTATTGAGAAGTGACAAAAGTGAAAGTTTATTTGGGGATATGGTATCAAGAATTTTAAGGAGAACTATTTCCAGAGAATTTGCAATGTGTTTTAGAATAGAATAGAATTTTTTATTGCCCAAGTGTGATTGGACACACAAGGAATTTGTCTTGGTGCATATGCTGTCAGTGTACATAAAAGAAAAGATACGTTCATCAAGAATCATAAGGTACAACACTTAATGATAGTCATAGGATACAAATAAGCAATCAGGAAACAATATCAATATAAATCATAATGCATAAAAGCAACAAAGTTACAGTCATACAGTCATAAGTGGAAGGAGATGGGTGGTGGGAATGATGAGAAGATTAATACAGTAGTAGTGCAGACTTAGTAAATAGTTTGACAGTGTTGAGGGAATTATTTGTTTAGAAGAGTGATGGCGTTCGGGAAAAAACTTGTGTCTAGTTGTTCTGGTGTGTAGTGCTCTATAGCGTCGTTTTGAGGGTAGGAGTTGAAACAGTTTATGTCCAGGATGCGAGGGGTCTGCAAATATTTTCACAGCCCTCTTTTTGACTCGTGCAGTATACAGGTCCTAAATGGAAGACAGGTTGGTAGTAATTGTTTTTTCTGCAGTTCTAATTATCCTCTGAAGTCTGTGTCTATCTTGTTGGCTTGCAAACCAAACCAGACAGTTATAGAGGTGCAGATGACAGACTTAATAATTTCTCTGTAGATGTGTTTTACTGTCTCTAACTATGGATCACAAACTGTCTTTAAGCAATTCAGCAATCCCATTACCAAATTTTGCATGCCTATTACAGTAACACCTTTCAATTGCTTTTCAGCTTATCTATGGTTCTGCACCTACAATTAATGAAGGAGATGCTGTCCACTGGATGTTCCCAAATGATGTGCTTCAATACAGGGGAATTCTCCAGTTATTGCTACATTTTGGGTGGACGTGGATTGGAATGATATCTCTGAGATATGAAGATGGAGACTCTTTTATAGCTACTGTGGTTTCAATGTTTGCCCAAAGAGGAATTTGCTTTGACTTTATTAAACGTTACCCCAAAAAGACATACAATAATGAATTCTCTGAAATGTTGGAGGATGGAAATGAAATATATGACGCTGTCATGGCAAGCAGAGCATCTGCTGTGATTGTACAAGCTGACTTTATGATAAGTATGCGGTTGTTGTTCTCTTATCATGTTCCATCAAAAAATGAGAAAGTCTGGATTATGATAGCCCAGATGGATTTCACTTCCACTTCCTTGCAAAGGAACTACCCTTTGCACTTCATTCATGGTGCTATATCCTTTGTGGTTCACTTAAGAGACTTAGTAGGCTTTAAGGATTTTGTTAGGAAAAGAAATCTGGGCAGCAATGAAGAAGATGGCTTCCTCAAGGATTTTTGGGAAGGTGCGTTTCAATGTGCATTTCCCAACTCCAGCAGAGAGAAGAATTTTGATGGTCTATGCACTGGGGAGGAGAAGATAGAGACTCTCCCTTCTTCGATTTTTGACATGAACATGAATAGCCACAGTTACACCATCTACAATGCCGTCTATGCTGTGGTACATGCCTTGCGTGCTCTATATTCATTCAAAAGGAAACACAAAGTTCTGCCAGATAAAAGTCAACTGAATCTTCTCCAGCAAGGATCATGGAAGGTATCATTTTGAGCATGTGTGTATGTGTATGTATGTATGTATGTATGTATGTATGTATGTACATATGTGTGTGTGTGTGTATGTATACATGTAGTTAGGTAGATAGATAAGTACACAGATAGGTACCATATTTTTCTGAGTATAAGACACACTTTCCCCCCCTCAAAGAGGATGAAAATTTGGGTGCGTCTTATACACCGAATGTAATCCCACCCACGTGCCGCCCCAATCCTTTTGGAGCTTTTGGAGGCTGCAAATGCAGCCTCCCAAACAGAGAGCCTCTCAAACAGCCTCCAAAAGGTCCGTTTGAGAGGCTGCCTTTGCAAAGAGAAGCTCCTTTGCAAACGGAAGAAAAATAGTAATACAGTCTTAGTAAATTATTTGGCATTGTTGTGGGAATTAGTTGTTAAGCAGAGTGATGGCATACGGGGGAAAAAAAACTGTCCTTGTGTCTAGTTGTTCTGGTGCGCAGTGCCCTATAGCATTGTTTTGATGGTAGAAGTTGAAACAATTTATGTCCAGGATGTGAGGGGTCTGTAGATATTTTCACAGCCTTCTTTTTGATTCGTGCAGTATATAGATCCTCAATGGAAGGCAGGTTGGTAGCAATTGTTTTTTCTGCAGTTCTAATTATCAGTTGAAGTCTGTGTTTGTCTTGTTAGGTTTCAGATCCAAACCAGACAGTTATGGAGAAGCAGATGAAAGATTCAATAATTCTTCTATAGAACTCAATCAGTAGCTCTTATATACTAGAATCCTAGTATTCTTAAAGGATACTTAAAGGATATTATGGATACTATGACAAAAATCAATAATTAATCAAGAAAATATTAGATCTCTTCCAAAAGTCCTCTTAGCTCTTGGTCTAATAAATTTCATAGCAACTTTATTTCTTTTTCTCTTTGAGTTGCATCATTTTCTGAGGACTGTCTCATTTAACAATAATGCTGGGGAGCCTGTTTCCTTTGATGAAAGTGGACAATTGGTGTCAGGATTTGACATAATCAACTGGATCACCTTGCCAAACCAGTCCCTCCTTAGAGTCAAAGTTGGAAGTTTAGATGTACATACTTCTGAAGCTATGAAGTTCACCATTCAGGAGAAGGCCATTGTTTGGCCCACCAGTTTTAATCAGGTAGGCTGGTTGATCCTGGCTGTGTGACCATCCTTTCAAAGATGGCAATGAAAGCAAAGATTCAAAGACAATATTGTATGGCAGGGGTACCCAAACAAAGGTTTCCCTTTGTGAAGTGTTAGATTGTTCATCAAATATTTATTATATGAAATTAGTTTAATAAATAGTACTTTACTATTAATATTGGACTAATAATGGCAACACCAAGTATGGAAAAGCCCTTAAACCCTGGCGGTCTTTAATGATCTCTTTGGAGGATATTGTTCAATTGTTTGCCAATGTTGAGTGTCAAATACTCCTCGACACCACATCACCTTGATGGTATGGAAGATCATGAAAGGGGGGGGGGAATATCGCCTTAGGATCCGGAACATACAGACGGATTCCAGCAACGGAACACGGTGGAGGGGGAGGTTGCGTTAGAACACCATGCATACCAATAGTGGGTGATGGATGGGATATAAGAAGAGGGGGGGTTTACAGGAACGGGAATGGGAAAGTACATCAGCAGCTGAAGAGATGATAGCAAGGTGGAGAATGACATCACATGCCTGCGACTGACGGCAAACGAAACAGAACAAGCGGTGGATTTGACTGTAACAGCTGTGAGGGATTGCCTGATGATAGTTCAACTGTGTCCATGCCCTATAAAACTGTACGGGCGGGAAGCTAAGGCGTCTCCAACTTTGTTTCTGCTTAGCAGCTCAGTGCCTACTGTATGCCGCTGTGTTGGTCTCATTAAACTGGGTTTTGGATCGAATCCCTCCTTTCATTTGTAAGTGTGTGTTCTTTTGCACCCGGCAAAGCACTGGCGGATCCAGAGGGGCTGAGAGCCAAAATGTTTGCCAATTCTTAATTTTTTTTTTAGAAATTGAATGCTTCCTCCTATCACCATTTATTTATACCTATTGTTCCACAGATAACCAGACTCAAATTATCATTTTTTGATAAATTTACAATTTTAGGATAGGTGGAAGGAAAGGTAAAAAGAGGGCTACTAGCAGCAAGATTGTTGGGCTTCATTATAATAGTGATGAGTGCCATGTTGGAACATCTGAATAACCATATTGGTGAAGGATCATCCATTGAGAAGATTTTATCTATGTGTTGAATAAGATTCAAAACTTCTTCTAGCAGCTAATCAATCAATCACTCAGATTTTTTATATTTATTTTTATTTTGGATTGGAGTATAATATTTTGTGTGCTCTCCCCAAACATTGGCTACAAAAAAATAAATTACACGTTTCTAAAATGATTCTCATTAGGCAAAATAAATAAACTAGAGAACTGAACACTATCTTCTGTATTATTCCCATCTATACATCTTCCAGAGGTTCTTTAAGATGATTTTATTTATTTTTGCTAGGAATATTACTATTTTCATGCATGATTCATCATTTGACTCAAAATCTCAACAGATGCTGATAAAGAAAGATTTTGTTGGACTCTAAGCAGGATATCCAAAAATAAATGAATATCTTCTATAACCCCCATATTGACACCACCTAGTTCAACATTTGCCTTTTCTTTCTTTGCCTTTTAGGTTCAGCCCCTTTCTGTATGCAATGATCATTGTCTTTCAGGTCATAGAAAAACCATGAAAGAAGAGAAACTGTTCTGTTGCTATGACTGCCTTCCATGTGCAGAAGGAAAGATTTCAGCCCAAGAGGGTAAGATATGCATCAATAGAATTTGTTGATTGAATAAGACATCATGTGTTGGTTGGTTGATTTCTGTCTCTATTATTCAAGCTTCTTGGCCTCCCATTTCACTTGAAAATTAAAATTTTCACACCTTAGAATATGATGGACCTGTTTCCACTACATTCTAATACACAAAGTTTCAGATGTGTACCGTATCTTTTGGAGTATAAGTCACACTTTTTTTCCCTCTTAAAAGAGGCTGAAAATTTGGGTGCATCTTATACTCCGAATGTAACCGTGCGCAGAGTCCAAGATGGCTACCCAGAACAGCTGCTACCTTCTCTTACCACTTCCGCACTTTGCTGCTTTGGTCACTGGAGTTCCCTCTGAGGATCAGCTGTGCTTTTGAAGCTGTTTTTCAGCCCCAAAATGAGCAAAGCGATCTTCTGTGCTTTGCCTGCTTTTCTAATTGCTGCTTCCTCTGACAATCAGCTGTGCTTTAGAAGCACAGCCTCAGCCAGCCCCAACCTCAAAACCAGTGAGCGAACTAATGTGCTGGGACTAGCCAGATGAATATCTGGTAGGCAGAATTTATTTCCCCCTATTTTCCTCCTTAAAAAGTAAGGTGCATCTTATACTCTGAAAAATACGATAATTTTGCATTCAGTTGTAGTAACATAAACAATGTATTATGTTCTTTTTCAGATGCAGATGACTGTGTCCCATGTCCAGGGGATCAGTATGCAAATTTCTATCAAAATGCATGCATTGTTAAAGAGATATCCTTCTTATCTTACCAAGACATTTTAGGAATTACATCTTTGGTGTTTGCATTCTCCTTGGTTTTCATGACAGTACTTGTGCTTGCTATCTTCATTAAATACAATGACACACCAATTGTCAAAGCCAACAACCAGAGCCTTTCCTACCTTCTCCTCATCTCTCTTCTCTTCTCCTTCCTTTCTGCTTTCCTTTTCATTGGTCGGCCAACAGTACTGACATGTCTCCTTCAACAAGTTGCTTTTAGCTTCATATTTTCAGTAGCCATTTCTTGTGTGCTGGCCAAGACTATCATCGTAGTTCTTGCTTTCATGGCCACCAAACCAGGATCTGAAATAAGGAAATGGGCAGGAAACAGATTGGCTACTTCGATTGTCTTTTCTTGCTCCTTTATTCAAGCTTCTCTTTGTGTCATTTGGCTGGCAACCTCTGCCCCATTTCTAAATTTTGACATGTATTCCCTGCATAAAGAAATTATATTAGAATGTAATGAAGGGTCAATTTACATGTTTTACTGTGTTTTGGGTTTCATGAACATTCTTGCCCTGGTCAGTTTCATGGTTGCTTACCTAGCTAGGAACTTGCCTGACACGTTTAATGAAGCCAAGTTCATCACCTTCAGCATGCTGATCGTCTGCAGTGTGTGGTTGTCATTTTTCCCAGCCTATCTGAGCACCAAGGGCAAACACATGGTGGCTGTGGAAATCTTCTCCATCTTTGGCTCCAGCGCAGGGTTACTGGCTTGCATTTTTTTACCCAAATGTTATATTATTCTTTTCCAGCCTGAATTAAATAAAAGAGAACAGCTAGTGAGGAGGTAATAATATTTCCATGTTTTTATTTATCATTGCTGACAATTCAATGTGATAAGCAAGATGTTCAATTTGAAAATAAAGTTTGGGTTAAGTGAAAGCATGTTATAGTTTAAGCTATTTGTGCTCTTTGTAAAAAAGAAATATTTTTCTAATGTTCTTTATATTGAGAGTACAGCATACTTGTTCAAGAATGTTTTGTGTCTGAAAGACAGAAAATGATCCTAAAGATTAATTTTAAATTTAGTCTGCCATTATGTCTGTGATATAATGTGTTCTTTTGGTCACATTATATCACAGACATATATGATGAAGATTTTGCTCTCTCTATACCACTATGTATATATCACCAATGTAAGATTATTCTTGTCCTTTAATATTTGTTATCTAGCCAGCAACTATCCAGGGAATGCAGAGAAGGTAGACAGATACTCTCCTACTTAATGTATTCATCAAGATAATATGACAATTGCATGTCAATAGAAGGATGTCTAGTCCACTATACATTACAGAACTCTATACTTCATCAATTCATTTGAATTCTCCAGGGACTGGTAAAAGTAACATGAATGAATCCTATTCTTCAAAAGGGAAAGATTTTCTACTGTTGCAATGAATTCAGTTTGGCTGCATGATATGCCAAAATGCTGTTGCCAAAATGATACTTGGCTCTGGTAACTACCAGAGAGGGTGTCAATATACGAGACAGCATGCTGTTCAACATTGCCACAACATGCCATTTCAGAGTTGCCCCACATGTGCAGGGAGAGCGGGGTGCATGGGGGCACAGATGGGTATCAGGTGATGGGACTCATGCTGGGAGAGGTGCCAGGAAGGCAAGCCAGATGCAGTCTGTTAAGAAGCCATCTAGACCTGAAGAGTGCTTGCTGGAGCTGGCCAGGGAGCAACTGGGCTCGAACAGTACTTGCTGGAGCTGGTCCAAAAAAGTCCAAAACAGATTCTTCATAAACAGTCCTTTGGCCTTATCACCAAACTTTGTCTCCTTTGGCACCCTGCCAAAGGCTTTTCTTGGCAAAACCCCACGAAGTTCAGAAGCAAGAGATGCTGACAAGAAACAAATGTAGCAACATTGCTTTCCCACAAAGATCCCAAGAGCCGTTGCTGCTCTTTTAAGCCTTCTGGGAGGGGCCAATCATCTCCTGGCCTTACTCCCAAGTCGTCCTTTTTGTTTTAGTTGCTCTTGCTTTCTGGAAGCTCTTTGCATACGAGCACTAGGAACAGGCTCCTCCTGTTTCTCTGCCTCTCTGCTATCTGCCTCTGGAGGCTCCGGAGCCTGTGCATCGCTCCCAGATGGCCCTGGTCCTATCTCTATCTCTGATGCAGAGCCTTCGTCTGGGTCTTCCCCTGACTCCAGGACTGGCCCATTGTCCTCCCTAGCCTCCTCATTGTCCAACCCCGCTGCCAGCTCTGCAGGCTGCTGGTGGCCCACAACAATAATCAAGGAGAAATCTAACCTAGAACTAACCTATGAGGTTAAAAAAACCCTAAAGTAAATAAGTTTGAGCATGCGCAAGATGGCGGCTGCGTTGTAAGTGCTGCACTTGGATGGAGGCTATTTTTTTTTAAATTTGATTTATATGTCGCCTTTCTCAGGAGACTCAGGGCGGCTTACAATGTGCTCAGCAATAGCCTTCATCCTTTTGTATATTTATACAAAGTCAGCTTATTGCTCCCACAACTGGGTCCTCATTTTCAGGGGCGCTTGGTCATCAGTGACCCCTGGTTCAGTCGGATGGGCTCAGGGCGAGGGTTTTGAGACCTTCCTCACCCCTGGGTGTTCCTGGAGTCGGAAATGGCAACGGAGAGCTGTGGCCGTGCTGTTCTGACGTTGCCGAGAGCGGAGACATGGTGGCTTTTGGCGGCGGCTAGTTTCGGTCGGTGGAGCTCGGAGCGAGGGTTTTGGGACCTCCCTCGCCCCTGGACATGCTTGGAGTCGGTGGCGATGGTGGAGAACTGTGGCCACGCCACTCCACCACTCAGACATTTCCGAGAGTGATGTTATGGTGGTTTGTCGGCAGCGGCTTGTCGGTAGTGGCAGCGGCGAAGGTGAAGGCAAAGGTGGCAGTGTGGCGGTGAGTGGCAGGCAGCCTGTTAAATTCCATCTGCCCCACTTGGAAACCTCCTCAGTGGCCCTTTGGAACTGGGAATGTGGCATTGGCATCAGCGGGGGTGGCGCAGTCGGCCCAGATATTAATTTGGGCCCCGGCACACCCCATTGAAGTAGTGACTGTCAGCGTCTCAGAACTGACATAGAAAAGGGAGGAGAAGCCTGAACTTTTGCCTGCTAAATCCCTTTGAAGATTCGGTCTCCTCAGAGATGGGTAGGGGGGAGACATTCCTGTGACCTGACGAAAAAGGAATCAGGAAAGTGAAGCAGAGAAGCAGAGAATTGGGGATTGGAAAGGGAGGGATTGGGGGGCAAAGGTCAGTACTGACCATCTGTCAGGTTTCGATGCTATCTCAAAATAAATGAACTTCCAAACTGCCGATCTTTAAGGAAATTTTCTCTTTATTCAAGCACAGCAATCTGATCCTGACTCTTTTTGCGGTCAGTACTGACCTTTGACCTCCAATCCCTCGGGCTGGTGGGCGACGGAGGGGTTTCCCCGTTGCATGGATACCAACCCTTTCTCTCCTCCCCCCTCCTGGGTACTGTGTATGCCAAAAATGGGCTTATTATCTGCCCTTGACTGAAGGGGTTCTCTCTCCCCCTCCTTCCCTCATTTTCCCCTTCCCTTTTCCATCGGGATTTACTCGGATACGATCTTCGAGTATAAGACTACGCCAAGGACTTCCATCTTTGTCCCCAGTGTGACTCACGGACTGACAGACTGATAGACTTCTCCCTCCGACCATGGGTCAGCCAAATGATGCAACTGCTGAGGGGGCCTTTATTGCATCATGATTTTGCCATTGGGAGAAGTACTTTTTCGATCCATGGCTGCTTGAGGGTCCCGCCGTGAGAGGGTGGGCCGGATATCGTTCCCATTGGATGAAATTGTCAGGACCCCCCTACTGTCGTGGGAGGACAGTAGAGATACCAGTGGTACATAATGGAACAATGGCTCCATGCTACATCTTTTTTGAGACCCCTGAATATGCTCTGTGCCTCCATCGCTGCACTCGGAGATGTACACGACAGCGGATCTTCTTGAACTGCGAGATTCCCCCCTCTTGCAGATGTGACCCTCCTCACTATTGAGGGCCCACCTCAATGATGGGTTCTGGGACCCAGAGAGGTGGCATGTGAAAACCAGGGGGCTGAGGGTTTTTTTATCAAAATTTTTAGTTAAACTTTTAAGGAGTCCCAGGGAGAGGGAGGGTCAGATTGGATTCAGGTTGTGAGTATGGGGGATAACCCACAAGGGGGAGGGTTGGGTCTGGCTGTGAAGCGTGACGTGGAGGGTGGGGGACCCGGGGTCGAGGGGGGGTCAGAGCTCATCCAGATATTTATTATTTATTTATTTTATTTTATTAAATTTCTATACTGCCCTTCTCCCGAAGGACTCATGGCGGTGAACAGCCACGAGATAAAACACATAAATACAAAAATTTAAAATGAATTAAAAATGAATTAAATAATTTGGCTAAATTTAAAATACCCCATAATTTAAAACAAATTAAAATTTACATTGAAAAAGGGGAGAAGATTTAGGCCAGGCCAGCTTGATGGAACAGGAAAGTCTTAAACGCGCGACGGAAGGTGTGCAGATCCGGGATCCTCCGTATCTCCACGGGGAGCTCGTTCCAGATCGTAGGTGCCCCCACAGAGAAGGCTCTCCTCCTAGGGGCCGCCAGTCGACATTGTTTGGCTGACAGCACCCAAAGGAGCCCCTCTCTATGGGAGCGTACTGGCCGGTGGGAGGCTATTGGTAGTAGCAGGCGGTCCTGTAGATAACCAGGTCCTAAGCCATGGAGCGCTTTAAAGGTGATAACCAGAACCTTGAAGCGCACTCGGACGACCACCGGGAGCCAGTGCAGCTCGTGTAGGAGAGGTGTTACATGGGAACTCCACGTTGCTCCCATAACCGCCTGCGAGATAGTGTTTCGAACATCAATACAGTAGGTGGGAGGGGCAGATACAGCGGGAGCAGGGGGCTATATCATGTTAGGGGAGTGCGCACTCACTTTCCACGAGCGGTGGCGTGCTCCGGCCCCAAAGGCTCCACTCATTCCCCAGGTTGCATAGACCCTCAGGGCCCAGGCCTTCGGCTGATGTTATGCAATGCCAGGTCCGTAGTAAATAAAGCCCCCCTCATTTGTGATCTTGTTCAGGAGGGGGGAGCAGACCTTGCAGGTATTATGGAGACCTGGTTGGGCCAGGAGGGGGGTGTTCCCCTCTTTGAAATCTGCCTACCAGGTTTCCACGCACTCCATCAGCCGAGGTCACAGGGGAGGGGAGGGGGGTAGCGGTTATCATTAAAGAAGGTCACTGTTTCCCAGACAGCCGGCTGTGAATCCCTCCTTGTGAAATGGGGTCACAGGATTCAGATGGGTTTGCTGATCACATACCTGGCTCCCTGCCACGTGGCAGCAGCCCTGCCCGAGCTACTCAACGTCATCGCCGGGGTGGCAGTTGACACCCCTAGATTTATAGTCATGGGGGATTTCAACCTGCCGTCCATGGGTGAGATGTCTGAGGTGGCTCGGGAGTTCATGGCTTCCATGACATCTATGGACCTGACCCAGTTAATTCATGGCCCTACCCACATGGGGGAAACACGCTGGATCTGGTTTTGTCTCTGGACAATGGTTGAATGACCTTGAGATAGGGGATATAGTTACCGAGCCCTTGTCATGGTCAGATCACTCTCTCCTTCGTCTCGACCTTCGAACCGCTGCACCCCACCGCAGGGAGGCAGAGCCGGTAAGATGGTTCCGCCCCAGGCGCCTGATGGAACCTGACAGGTTCCAGATGGAGCTTGGGCCATTTCCTGAGGCTCTGGCACATGCCTCGACTGGAGACCTAGTGGCTGCCTGGGATAGGGCGGCCGCTGGAGCCCTGGATCGGGTCGT